TCGGAAAAAGGCAAGTGGGGGGGGGGGAGGCCAGCCTGAGTCTGTAGCAGGCCATCGCCTGTTCTGAAGGATTTGCTCTGCTGTGACAGCTTCTCTCTTTTTCTGAGGCAGAGCCAATGACAAAAGTCCTGCTTTAGAGAATGGGAAAGTGCTTCACAATATCTCATGACTGCTGCTGAGCAAGAGACAGGGAACGCACAGGAAGCTGCATATGCTGAAAAAGTGAATCCTAGATTCTCGTGGAAGCCCTGTTTATGTCCACCTCTTCACAACATCTAAAATGATTTTTTCCATAGCCAGGGTGCGTGCGTGTGTGTGTGTGTGATGTCGCCATCCCCACCCAAAAAGAGACCACTGATATCTCACAATTCACAGGATGCCTTTCTGCCAAAACACACCACCTTGCACAAAACACCAAAACCACAATCCTATGTGCATTTACCCAGAAATAAGCTTCTTTCTTTATACAGGAACTTCTGTACGTGAGGATTTCAGGAAGTAGGTATTTATTTTCATATGCAGTGGGAATGTGAAAATTTATTAAAATTCTACAAGTCAGTGTCCAAGGAAATAAATGAAATTAAGTTAAATGTAGAGGTTGGCCTCTGCATCGCTCTATTATTAATGTTCGACAAGCAGCAAGAGCAATGGAGAAGGGCAATGAGATAATTAATTCCAAATATATTAATAGCAGCAAGATTAACAATAGCTTGGAATTGGAAAGTGAAGTATGACTTTCTATTAGATGAATGGTGTAAAAAACTTTGGGATATAACTATTAACAATAAGTTAACATGTAACATCAAACTAAAAAAGGCTGTGATAAATAAGCACAATTTGTACTGATATTTTGGGAGACTTCATCAATTTTGTGTTAATAACAACAAAGAGTTGTGTGTCTTTGCAAGAATCAATGCAGTTTTGGAAGGGGAACAAGGCTTGGTAAAGAGGAAAAAATGGTCCTATCTCCAGATAGTCCTGGTGGAGGAGAGTACACTATGTATTATTGCATTCATTGTGTGATGTTGTTATTAATGCTTTTAAAAGCTGTTTTAATTTTTTCGTATTTTTCTGTGTCTTTTATAGGAACTAACCAACAAATGTGATTATGGAGAAGATGTCACAAGCCTAGATCCAAAAGCATTGTGATAAGAGCATCAAAGTTGCCAACATTTTAAATGAGCAATCACGTTTGTCTGATTTTTGTGGCTCCATGAAGACTATGAAGTTCTATCCAGCAAAAGATGGTGTCAACCTGTTGGCTTTGCATCTGAGGTTGCTTTAGTGAAAGAAACCTCATGCCAAACAAATCTTGCTAATCTTTAAGGTGCCACAAAGCTCCTTTGCTGTTTTCACTAGAACAGAATGGCAGCTGAGCTGAAAACACCACTGAGCTTCCAACAACAGGAGCTTCTTCTGGCCTACATATATGCAACAGAGAAATGTCACTCCTCTGCCTCAGCCCACATCAGCTCCCCAGATGGTTCACTTCAGCTTACCCGAGTGTCCTCCTGTGTCAACAGCTGTGCCAAAGAGCAGGACATACTCAGAGAACGAAGCATGGAGCAAGCACATGGAACCCATCCAGCCGCCAGCATTGACAAACACCCACTGCAAGTCCTCATCTGGCAGGATGTGTCCTGGATGCTTCTTGCGCAATTCCACTATGATCTTGGAAAAGGCCAGTTCATGGTCTAGACCTGCAAGGAGTAAAATTGTCACAGTGAATCAAAGGCTTCCCTTCCCTTTTTTGTTCCAAAAAAGAGCAAAAAATAGTGGGCAACTTAAGAAAATGGCAGCCCGAAAGCTCATTCTCCATCAGTGGGTTATCACGGCAATGCAACTTTTACAGTAGGATGGCTAGCAGACTGTCAACACCACCAGAGTATGACTTTATTTTGCCTTTGTGTGCAGAAGGTCAGTACAGTTTTGAAAAAGCAATCAGGACAATACTAAAAGATCAGTCCCTCTCACTGCTCCCTGTAAGAGCAGCCAGCCAGTCTTGATTAAAACAGTCATTCCCTGATGAATGTCTTTAACAGTTGGCAGAGGTACGGTGCCACTGAACACAATGTTCTATTGTCACTGCCAATGCAATTATCTGGTGCTGCTACAAAGGTACTTTCTAACCTTATTACTAATACATATATCTTCTATGACTAAAACAATTGTGGGGATTTAATCTTTAGGTTACTACCTTGCTGCAGTTTGCAGAGCAAGGAGAAGTCTTAGAGGTTGGAGAAGGTTTTGTATAATAAAAGGTTTTTGAAAAAGGGAGGAAACTTACTTTGCATGCTTTTGTTTGTGAGCGGTGCACATAAAAAAGATTAAACACTAAAAAGGTAATCAAATTAACATCCTTTTCTTTAGCAGAAGCCTTTGTTACAGAAAACATTCCTATCTCTTCAGGACTTTCAACATGAAGGCAGTAATGGACTAGTGACAGCCCAAACCAGCCAATGAAGAATAGAGATGTAGAATATTTGAAATCTTTTCAAAATGAAAATGCATGCCCAGTTGCCCACTGATGGGACTTTCAGAGGGAAGAGTAGAATCTTTGAAAATTAGGGAAACTCTTCCATTTGGATGAGCATTTAATTTCTGATCTGTTTTTGAAATTACAAACTCAGAAGCCACTGGACGGACAAATCTGTTAGAAAGAGACGTTTCTCCAAATAAGAACAATGCCACCAGCCAGATAGGTTTAGAAAGTCAACACCACTTCCCTCCTAAACTGGATCCTCTCTTTTACTCGCAAGGTAGCTGACCCGAATGTTTTTAACAGCTGTCCTCAAAGCAGGGAAGGAAGGACCACCTTGCCCCTCAAAAGATGCAGCACTACCAATAAAATACTACAACACACATGAATTAAGAAGAGAAACTTTAAAAATCCCAATCATTGAAACCATTGCTGAGAGACGGGTTTCTTCAGAGGGACGTTTCTTTCTTTAATTTGGTTATATTTATATCCTGCTTTTCCTCCAGTGAGATTTAAGCTTTTTCCAGGATTTATGCTCACACCAGGCTGTGAGTGTGTGATGGGCTCAAGGTAATTTAATAAACGTGGCCGCCAGGCAGAGACTGGAACCCAGATCTCCCGAGTCCCACTTCAATCATCTCAGCCACTGCTTTCCCCACACCCAGGTGTTCTTGGACTACAACTCCCAGAAACCCCGTCCAGCGCAGCGAGTCGTGGAGCCCCTTCTGGTAGGTGTAGTCCGAGAACACCTGGGGGGGGGACTGAAGGTGGGGGACCCAGAGGTCTTAAGCAGTGGGTCAGGTGGCTGAGGGGCTTCCTCCCCCCAATCCCAGAAGGAGAGGGAAGGGAGGGCGGCCGTCGTCCTCTCCTGCTCAGGAAGAAGGGTCCCTTCCCTCCTCCGTCCTGTCCCGCCTCGTCGGGCGAGCTTGCGCCAAAAGGCGGTTTGGCCAGCCAAAGGCTCGGGAGCCCGTCCGGTCCGGCCCAGCCCACAGGCGAGGCTCTGGCAGGGCCCACCGGAACCCTCCCCCCCCC